TCTGTCAGGCTTGAAGAGGTTTTTTTTTGTAACAAAATAGAATTCGCAGTTGTCTTGGTGTATATACCAAACCAGAATTGTAAGAGACCAAAAGCTCGCACCAAAATTATTAAAATGAAAGATGTAGCATGAAAACTTAATAAAGCGTATTCGCTGAGCCTTGAGACCTTATAAAAATAACGACCGAGCGGGTACTTTTCCATGGTTTCAGAAGCAGCAGGTTATTATTATGGTCGCTGAATTGAAACAGTAGGTTATTATTTTTAATAATGATCTTCTATTCCACCTCAACGACCTTTTCTTTAAATTTATCTAAAATAATAACCTGTTCAAAACAATGGAAAATTGCATGAAGTCCCGACTAACCGACCGTGTTGTTCAAAAAATGAACTTACCATAGGTTTGATATATACTGAATAAATGACAGACACACAAATGAGTTGGCTGCGTATCCTTGTTAAGGACCGTGGCAGTACTTTTATTGTTATTTTGAAAACTTTCCTGGAGGGCAAATTGTTCTGCTTTTCTTCATGGTCAGGCAGTACCTGTTAAAAAATGGAAAGCGTTATTTGTTGTTGTAAATACTACCGTACTAACGCGTTAAGAATTGTACTTCGAATTAACCTTATTTTCTTGTTTAACTGGTTTCTCGTTACCTTCAGTTTTATTCACACCTGTCTTGCCCCTCTGTGGACTATTATCTTATGTCAGCCTGAAGCGTCCCGGGAAGTATTGCAATTCTCTCCCCGTACAAACTAAAATTGCTAACAGTTGGTTTGTTGCATCCCGGTTGTGCGGCATAAAAGCATAATTTACCTTCAAATCGTACATTTACTAATAAAGTCGCGATTAATCAAATATAAAAGCATATAGTCTGAGTCAGAGTAATAAAAAGCTGTCCAATTTGAAGTTTATTTTGTAAGTGGAGTCTACAGAAGTGAACACTTCGAAGTTAATCACAGCGGAAAATTCTAACTACATAGCATCAACAAAATAGGCCCATTTGACCCTAACAATCGCAACTCGACGTTATCTTGTTGACTACACGTACGCCTTTATTACATTTTTGTCCCTCCAGTTCAACATTCATCGAGCCAACATAACAAACCGGCCATGCATGTTTACAGGTAACTTCGGGCGACACATTAAATAACACTCAGGACAGAATTATGACAGAAAACTGTTATGTAAAGTCTAAAAGAATAATTTATTTCTGCAGTAAGAAAATAACCAGTATTAAGAACCGTTAAAGCAATTTGGACGCTTATCACCGTCTCTTTAAATTGACTTCTAATTTAAACGTAAGCGATAGCGTAACCACAAGTTAAAGTTGAACTAAGAACAAACCTGTTGTTTTCGAGGAGGCAATCGAGAATCTTATTCCAGACCAAATATCCCCTAGCTGAGTTTGCTCTTCACTTCACCGCAGGCAAAGCAAGTACGGAGGTTTCTGGCTTTAAACGCAGTTAAATCAACAAGAAATTTGTGTCTCAATTTATACGGTCGCTCGATTAAAATTCAAACCAGTGTGAGAAATGTTTTTGATAAATCTTTTCTTGAAACTGTATATGAGAAAAGCACGCACTCTATGTTCAACAATGGGCAATCAATGCATAGATTGGTCACATTAAAAAAAAAACGTTTGAGAAGTTTGCCGACTCGCTCAATTACATAACGTAGCTCTTGGTTGAAAACAGTATACTAGTGGATAAGCATGGGACTTGACAATACATTGAGAAAAACAGCACTCAGTTCATCAATGAACAATTAGACTAACGCTTTAATTAGACGCATTCAGAACAAAAAAATGCCGACTTGATTAAAACTTGACAAATCGATGACAAAACTGGCTAGTGAATGAGTAGACAATAGGCCTTTCGCCCCAAAGAAATTTAAAACAATGCTAATGCAAAACTTTGGAGGGACAACAAAGCGTATTATGGTATTTTTGAAAAAGGACTATTGCCGTGTGAATTACCACAAGCTTGCCCCTGAATAAATTTGAAAGTACCGGGAAAGAAACGTACAAACTTTCCAAACTTCTCGGTAGACTATAAAAGCGAAGAAAGTTGAGGAAAACTAGTGTTAAAGCCGAATTGCTAGCACTAGAACCATTTTGACTCCTAACATTTGATTGCTCATTGATGTTGATCACCACTATCAGTTTGACAAAACCAATGAATATGCGAAGACTACAATAGCCTGTTTTGCACCCGCTCGTCACGACTAAAGTTAAAAGTGCGAAAAAGCGAGAATACAAACTTTAAAAGCTTTTTGGTAGATAAAAATCATCATTCATTCGAAAAGCGCAGAAAGTTGAGGAAAACCTTTGGGTTGAGATGGAAAGTTTTTGGAGTAATGAATGATGCCAACATTTCATGGTGTTAAACCAAACCAATAGAATTGCATACTTAAAAAAATATCCTGGAAGGGCTGGTTAACCACCCATAGTGAACTTTATGGTAAAAGTGACCACTAAGTACCATTCAAAACAGAAGAATTTCACTTTTTGGACATGTTTTTTTCCAGCGCAACAGCTGATTATAACATGGGTGAGAGGGCTAAAAAAGGAAGTCCGACATCTACATTACATGATAGACACTGTTGCGGGATACTGAGCTGGACAGCATTAGAGATCGAGCCTTATGAGGTCAGTTGTCTTTCCGTCATCTTGACGAGGAATCAACCAAAAGTAATAAGAAAGAGAGATCATGTAAGCATTGAAAGAAATACAATCCTGAGTGTACGGTATATTTTTTTATATCAAAATCTCCCAAATAAGAAGAGGAAATGAGAAAGTCTCTTTTTCCTCCCATCATCCCTCCATTACATTACTCTACCAGTCTTGCACTAATTGGCAGTGAAAACCTGTAAATGAGATTAAATTTTCTCTTCCATGTAAAATGAATGCTCTCTACACGTTGACACAACTCGAGTGAAATGGTCGTACCAATCTTTGTACACTACGAGTAGTCCCTCATTTTCCCTCAGGGACAGTAGAGCGAGCGAAAAGCGAGCGCACGTGAAAATCACCAAACGCGAGAAAGGCGAGACGCGGCGGGGAGAGAGAAATATGAGGGACTACGGATAAAGCCTTTCTCTCTCCTCGCCGCGTCTCGCCTTTCTCGCGTGGGGTGATTTTCACCCGCGCTCGCGCTTCGCTCGCTCTACTATCCTTGAGGGAAAATGAGAGACTACTCGTAGTCTACAATTTTTGTAGCAGTACCATGACGGGCACTTGCTGTGGTGATAATACGGGGGGGATACTTCGGTAATTCGGGTGGAAGTGTGCAGCATGCTACCTGGAACACGTAACCCATTTCAGACCAAAATATTTGAATAGGAACATGGGCAATTTGCCTGGGTAGGAGGGAGAAAGCACTCCATTGTTTGACCTGGAGGCCGTGCCACTGCACAAGGTGTGGTTTTCTGGGTTTTTCCAGACCCTGGACATAAGAGAGTATTCCCCACCCCCCGGGTGTGAACGTAGGACTAACTGGCACGATTTGCTAAGCACTGTGAATAAAGATCACTTTAACAAGCCCCTTTTGCAACATATTTACAATGTACTTACAGTAACATCAGCAGGGGATCAAATACGTGACAAAAACATATTTTATTTAGTTATTTACACACGTCCTGGCTTTCTGTAATTACTACTTCTTTTTCTTTTTCTTCTTCTCTGAAGGCGTGATGGATTTGTCTTCACCCTTGCGTTTTTCTGCATTCTTGTTAGCTTTGGGCAAAGGATATTAGAAACAGTCAGTACAAGTAGACCCGTATGCTGACCCTTTTTTAAGGCTCGATTCCAGTTTTTTTCTCGATCAGCGTCTGACCGGCGAGCCATAATTGTAACACGCACATGCCTTACCCGCCCCGCTTTCAGAGTCACAAGTTACCCCAGAGCCTCCTATAGACGGAGGTGGAGGAGGTGGAGGAGGTGGAGGAGGACGTGGAGGAGGAGGTGGAGGTGGAGGAGGAGGTGGAGATGGAGGAGGAGGTGGAGGAGGAGGTGGATGTGGAGATGGAGGAGAAGGTGGAGGAGGAGGTGGATGTGGAGATGGAAGAGAAGGTGGAGGAGGAGGTGGATGTGGAGATGGAAGAGGAGGAGGAGGAGGAGGAGGAGGGGAAGAGGAGGAGGAGGAGGAGGAGAAGTAGGAAGATAATCAAGGCGCTGACGAAGAGAAGATGACAATGATAGTCCATAAAAACACACACTTAGCACACACCCAACACAAGATGAGCATCCAAGCGATGGGGATTTCACGCTTGATGAATAATGTGCATTGATTTACATTTTGTGCCCTCTTTAATATACAAGGTTCACCAGGCACCCTCATTGATTTAAATGATACTGACAAATGTTTGATTCACCTTCTTTGCTTGAAGTTTCCCCTCCATCTTGTGAAGAATCCTTTTTATCTGTAAGCCAAACAAAATAATTTCTAAACTAGTAATAACCAAAGGTTAGGGAGTGCAGGCGACAACGATCAGAGGTCCAAAAGCTTTTCCTCCAAGGCGATGCTTTGCGTTAGTTTCACGTGACAGTTGATCAAAACACACGTCATCAGATGATGAGGGGTAGGAAGTCGAAACGCGCGTGATCAAGTTGCGTTTTGTGCATTCCATTCATACTTAGTGGAAACTAAATAAATGCTGGCTACATATATGCGCCGCATAAGTTATAACAACCTGGAGATTAGGATTGTGGGCTCTTCTTGTTGTCCACAATAAAACACAACAACTTACGTGAACAAGTTAATCAAATGCAATTAAATGAGCTGTAGACACAACAGTTGTGGCATTCAGTTGCTAATTTGCATATTTTTTAGGGACCTGGCTTGGTCAAACTGAAGCCAGTAGACTTTGAATGAAAAGTCAAACTTAGCGCTGGCCACACGTATTTCCAAACTGCAGTAGTTAAGTAAAAACTGTTTGAAAAGTCGAACTGCAGTCATATGACATCTGGTTACTGTTTCTTCTATACTGGATAGTTTAATTTGTCTACATACATGAACACCTGTTCATACTGCCACGAAGGGTAGCAGTTAGTGATGATCCACTTTCAAGATAGGAGCCGCAAATTCTGCTTCAGTACAGAAACCACTGTGCATAAAAGCCCTATCTGATATGGTTTCCATGCAGGAACAAGAGCTATCTGTCACAGTAGACATTGTTCTACATTAAGTAAAACACATGCAAAAAATGTAGGTTTCACTATAACTGGTTACTTTCTAAGTTACCTGATGGATTCCACAATGCACTCTTCACAAATCTCTTAGCAGCACCCTTATCGATCCTTAGAGATGCTATGACAAAACAGATTGAAAAAAATAATAATAATAATTCTTCCCTCTCTTTAATCAACCCTCAAACTGCCCCTTATAAGCTCCTCCTACCTGTAAACAAAACAATACATCTAAACTTTGTAAATCGAAAGCAACAGGTCTTGACAATATTTCTGGCAAGCTTCTGTGAGAGTGTCCTGATTTGATTTCTGAATCATTGTCATGTCTATTCAATTTGTCAATTAAAAAGAAAATATTTGAAGATGAGTGGAAAGCCCAAGACTTACTCCACTCTACAAGAATGAAGGAAAACGTTCAGATATGACCAATTATAGCCTGATATCAATCATCCCAGTGGCTGGGAAAAAAATTGACCAGAACCTGAATTGGGATGACGATATTCAGATGATTTCTAAAAACTTAAGGTTGCTTCAGGCATCAGTGCAATTAAGCAGGTCAGAAACTTTGTCCCTCGTGACTATTTTATCATGCTCTTGTACATGTACAGCCTCACTTCAATTACAGTTTGGGGAAATTGTAATAAGGGCCTCTCCCAGAAGCTGCAGAAACTACAGAACTGCGCTGCTTGTATAATCACAACATCAAATTACAATGCTTGCCTGGATGAGCTCTTTCAGTCACTAAATTGGGATAAACTTGAACTGCCACGTAAGTTTGATTTATATATTCTTATGTATAAGACTTTTTATAAGAATGAAACTTTTGAGAATTTGAGCTCAAAATTTATTAATCGTATGGACTTAAGTCTTATAACATAAGAAATATGGTAAACACACTAGCAGTACCACTTTCCTGCAATGAAAGCTTCAAAAAGAGTTTCACTTATAGTGGAGCGGTGTTGTTGAACAGTTTACTGGATCATTTAAGACAGGCATCATCACTGACAAATTTCGAATCAAATATTTGTTGCCACAATCCCCAGAGTTAGGTGGGTTTTAATGGGTTTTTATTACACAGGAAGTTCTGGTTTTTCACTTATTGTTTGTTCAATTTTAGTAGATTCCGGATAAATTGCTAGTTTTTCTAAGGGATCAGCGGAGATACTGACCTTCTTTCTTTTCTGTTGCTTCTTTCACTTTTCCCATGTACTTCTTTATCCTGTCCTACAATGACAACAAATGGCAGCACACAAGTTAAAGAACTTCTATGACCTTCAAAACCTACCGATGTGCACAACCTATGGGATACAGCTTAAACAATACTACAATACAAAGGGATGAAAAGAGCATGAGAAAAAATAGTGTTAAAAAAAATATAGTCTTGTTGTGAGGATTAGTAAGGAATCATGAGTTGTGTGCTCCAGCACCTTTTTCCAGTGATATTGTGCCAATATTCTCCATTATTTAAATTTTTTTAAAACTAAAACTTTACCGACCCGCACCTATTTTGTACGGTCTGAACTCATACTCATTTTTCTTAGCCATTCAAAAACAATCATATCATGACATTTGGTCCATTCTAAAAAGGAATGGAAGGAACAGAACAGAGCACAGTCGAGGCTTCTTTACTTGCTATAATAAATAATGATATAATGGTACTGCATGCAGCTTGTGTATTCCAGGCAAATGACTTTACCAGTTCAGATTTCACAGGATGCTCATGTGGGTTTACACCTTGAGTGGTAAGATACACTACAAAAAGAGAGTCACACATATTATTTTCACAATAAAAACTTCTACACAACACTCCACAGAATTCAATTTGATGGGATACCGTAAACTACCGCTTATAAGTCATGGGCTTATACATTGTACATCTTCGTAAGGGGTTTTAGGATCAGGGCTTAAATATGGAGAGGCTCGAATCCATGGGGGCTTATAACTAAGATAATAATAGATCAAATTCATTTATATACATTTGGAGGGGTGCTTTTATCTAGGAAGGGGAGGCGGGGGGTTATGATCGGATGCATTTTTTTTGTTTACAGGCAGATGTGCCTATAACTGGGGGAGCTTATAAATAGCAGTTTACAGTATATAAAAAACTCATGATTCCAGCTTATCAGCTTTCCCTTGTACACATGTAGTTATGGCTTTTGAAACTTTGGAAGTTTTGTTAACCTGCTCAACTAAACCTTTTTGGCAGTATTGTCCCATTACACTATTTTCTTTTGGCTAAAGGAAGTTTTTTCTTTAACTGTGTAAGTAAAGGAAGGCTTTTGTTAAGAAGCTGGAAAAGTAGTTTAAAAAAAAAACTTACTCCAGAACATTGAGTTGATAGCATAAGCAACTACTAGGTCAAGTTTTGCACTTTCCAGTGGATTCATCTAAAAAAGAAAATAAAAAGTTAAAATAGGGCTTGTTATCCAAGTGTTATCAAAAATAAAAAAGAACCAATAAATAAGACCCTGTATTCTGTAGTTTTGGCAGCCCAATAAAGGTTCACTAAATTTAATGCTGACTTGATTGTTATAAGATTGAAGATATCAGTTAGGCTATCCTCATCTTAGCCTGCAAAAACAGCCACCTTTCCTTGCTCCCCGCTAGGTACATTTAGCCAGGAGAGATGTTTACACCTCAGTGACAGAAACTCCATACTGATGTTTACATAATAAATCTGGTAGTCATGGGGTTCCAAATGTCAGTTTGTTCAAATTTACTCTCCTGGTTGATAATCTAATGGTAAAGTTTTTTTCTTCTTTTTTTTTTCTTCCTTCAACGAATGAGCTCCAGAAAAGCTCAAATGTTTCTGCTACAGAAAAATATGTTCCACGAAAATTGACCATTTTGTAGTAGATTCATTGCATTTACATTTTAACATTACGACTGTTTGTCTTTTGTCTGTCAATCGCAAACAATAGCTAAAACAATCAATTGATCAATCAATCAACTTTATTTAAACAAGGTAAATGGCTCAGCAAGCTGGTTTTCAGACATGCCGTGTGGTAATTACAATTTATAAAAATTAGGACTAGTGATTAACTAACAATAATTAGCACAAGAATTGACAATTTTATCTGTTCCTATCGACTGTCATAAACGTAACTATCTAGCTTATATGGTAATCAAGACTAATAATAGTGGTAAAAACAAAACAAAAAAATCAATAATTTGAAATACAATATAACAGCAAGAAATGAGTATTAAAGAAATAAGATAAAAAACATAATAAAAAGTTATATCCCAAGATATGGCGAGTTTAAAGCTAGTAAGATCCCCAATCTCACGTGTTTTATTTGACAGTTGGTTCCAAGCCATTGCACCCTGTTAAGAACATGAATGCTTAAGAAAATTTGTTTTAGGTAGTGGTAGTTGGAGATGAGAAGCCCTCAAATTATAGTCATGAATTTCAGAGGTTCTATGAAACCGCTCTCCAAGGTACGTCGGACAATTATTTTTGAATGTTTTAAACATCGTAACTAATAAGTGCCTTTTTCTTCTTTCTTCTAAGTTTGACCACTCTAAAGAATTTAGTATATCTGATGATCTGATAGATACCGTACAATTCCGAAAATAAGCCCCTCTAAATATAAGCCCCCCAAAATCGTAATGCTAAAAACCCTTCGTTAAATCGCCCCTCCGAATATAAGCCCCCCGGGGGGCTTGTAATTAGAATTTGCCCTTGATTACAAAGTAAAACAAAACAAAAATGGTAAATTTCCTTCCCACTACAAGCTAGCCCAATCGATTTTGAAACACAAATTTCCCTCCGTACATAAGCCCCTCCAAATACAAGCCCCTCCAAAAATAAGCCCCTCAAAAAGGGCCTTTGAAAAATATAAGCCCCGGGGCTAATTTTTGGAATTTTACGGTAACTACTATGTCGACCAATCAGAGCTACCAACCAGATTTCGGACAGATTATACATCATCAGTTTGAAATTTCTGTTCTTGAGGCACAGACATCTCTCCTGGCGAAACATCCCTAGCAGTGAGGAGTAAGGAGGATGGCTGTTTTTGCAGGCTATTCTTGCTTTAATCAATTCAACTTTCGGATTTGACGTGTTTCATGTGCCACAAACATAAAAGAGTCATAAAACTTGTAAGAAATTTAAAGAATACTTTTGTACATGTGAATACAAATAATTGCAGGGTATCGATCTCCCTGTTTTTCTGAGAATAACCCTCACCAGCTTTGTATTTTGTTGTACCTTTAACGTTCTTTTGAGTTGATTTCTTCACTTAATACAATGTAGCTAAAGACGACATTTTATTAAGTGTAGTTACTAAAACATGGAACGACCTAAAACCACCTAAAACCACCTAAAACAATCTACAACCACCTAAAACCACCTACAACCACCTCAAAAAATTCAACAACCACCTACAACCATCTACAACCACCTCAAAAACATCTACAACCACTCGCAAACAATCTAAAACCATCTAAAACAAGGTATAAATGTCTGAAATAAGGCGAGACGACAACATGTCACGAACATGAAATAAGAGAATCGAACAAAACATCCACTTCCCCCTAAAATCTTACCCTCCCTGGTCCCTTGTATCATCAACCATTGGCTTAAGTCACTAAATGAAATGCGAGATCATGCTAAGTATATTAAAAGACTTAAAGAACTTTACAAAATGAACTATCAAGTCACAAAAAATTATAAAATAAAATAACAAACTCGTAGTTGAAAGACTGACTTGATTTGGCTTTTTCTACCCTGGGTACCAGTGAGACATTTTGGTTCACGTTTCATTTGTTTACGCAATGTTTTTCTCTCTCTCGGAGTCTGCTTCACTGCTGTTTTGTTCTGAGGTGGCGGATTACATTCCTAAGAACAAGTTAATTTTTTTAGCATCTCATCCGCCAAACATGTTTGTACATTCCAGGTGACTCCTTTAGATGAACCTTAGTGTCTTTCACACCCGTTTCCTGTGTCATCACGCAAGGCTAAACTCCCTTGCGTCACGACACAGGAAACGGAGACTAGTAGGTGTAATCATTGTTAAAAATGTTATTTGAAAAAATCTATAATGCAATGGATTCAGAAGAAAACAAGTTAAGACGAGCCGAATTAACAAAAATGGGTTGAAAAATTTTAATAGTGAATGATTGTATTTAAAGTAATTAGCCTGGATTTTTATATACCTTTATTATGTTTTGGAACCCAACTTTCACCCCGGCCCTCTTCTTGGGAGTGATGGGATATGCGCGCTTCTTATTTTCGCTTTGCTCGTTGTAAATACGTCCCCACTATACTATCTAAGAGCCTGGCACAGGCTAGAGTAGCTGGAACTTTACGAGCTAAAACAGAATGAAAACTTTGGATCACATATTCGGGTGTTCCCTCCCCGCCAAGGGACGTTACTGGTAAGAACGTTTTGATTCATTTTGCTGAAAAGAATTATCAAATATCATTATATAATGTTTTCTAATTCTTGCAACTGTAAACAGGTTAATAGCTGTATAAAATCAGGCTCTACAAGTGAGACACGTTCACACTAGACTAAAGGATTCTGCGGGACTACATACATTTGTGTGAAACTATTTTGAAACAGATATTTATACCCTGTTTTAGATGGTTTTAGATTGTTTGCGAGTGGTTGTAGATGTTTTTGAGGTGGTTGTAGATGGTTGTAGGTGGTTGTTGAATTTTTTGAGGTGGTTGTAGGTGGCTTTAGGTGGTTGTAGATGGTTTGAGGTGGTTTTAGGTGGTTTTAGGTCGTTCCATGTTTTAGTAACTACGTTTTATTAAGAGTTTTGAACGAATATGCGATCAGAGCCTGGTCTCGTGATCAAAAGAAACCGCTTACTTGTTTTCCTTGAAGTTTCAGTATGAGTTAAGAGCGTAGGTGACCAACAATTTAATTTAACGTTTAAAAAATCTCAAGATGCGATATTAAAAGGAACGCTATACAAAGTAAAGTTTCAGCTTATCAAAATCTACTCAGTCTACTTGAGGGTTACATGTACTCTACGTTTTTTTTTAAAGGGAACTTCAAACCTTTTCCTTTAGGTCATCAACTGAGGTCTCTAGAAGAGGCTTGAAAACATCTTCAACTTTACCCAAAGCTTCGTGAAAAGTCTCAAGAGATTCAGTAACTTCTTCAGGTAAATCGGGCTCTTCTTCCACATGAGCCGCCATCTTGAAAATGCAAGGCGCCGGAGGACTGGGTCGCAGTGTATGACAACGAGGTTTTTTTGTAACGAGGCTATTTTTAGCATAAAATGACGTCAGTTGTAGACTTGTCAAACTGATCCACGTTGCAAAAGTGGGGTACACAAAAATTATACCCCAAATTACAGCGAGTTATGAAATTTAAAAGGTATAAAATGAGCTACTTGTTAGTTGTAAAGATCAATACATCAAAATATCAGAAACAATCAAGAGAAGACAAGACAAGACCAACTGAAAGAGATATTTTGTAAACGACTATGGGAATCACACTCTCTCAGTTTTTCAAAAGTATGAGTGATCTTTATCGTTCTTTCTCCAATCGTGAAGCTCGTATCCTCATGGTAGGGCTTGATGCAGCTGGAAAAACCACCATTCTGTACAAACTCAAGCTAAACGAGACGGTAAGCACCATTCCTACAATTGGATTCAATGTGGAGACTGTGAGCCCATGCAAGGGTGTCACGTTCACCGTCTGGGATGTCGGAGGCCAAGAGAAGATCAGACCATTGTGGCGCCACTATTTCCAGAACACACAGGGCTTGATATTCGTGGTAGACAGCTCTGATTTGGAGCGAATGTCAGAAGCCCGGCAAGAACTTTTTAGCGTCCTTGAAAGTGTTGAAATGGAACGTGTGCCTGTGGTTGTCATCGCCAACAAGCAAGATCTTCCGAGAGCCCTCAAGGCGCACGAGATTGCTCAACAGCTGTCCCTCTTGCAGCATAAAGCGAACCCATGGCATGTTCAAGAAACCTGTGCTAAGAATGGCGAGGGTATATACGAAGCTATGCACAAGCTGAGCGACATGGTCAAGGAATTTGAAAAAAGTTCAAGAAAATACTGACCAATCATAAACTGGAACTAA